TAGAATTCAAATCTACAAAATCACTGAATTCCAACACTGTGTGACTAAATGCGACTAAATGACTAAACTAATAATAAGCCAATAACTAATATAATAATAATAAGACTAAATCCAATAACTTGACTACAACAGTTCCCCATACTATCCCTGCAAAATAGTCATCATCAAACTGGTTTAGAGAAACTGCAGAGCTGCCAATCGCTGGCACAGTCAATGACTACAAGCAAGACCAGAAGAGTCTGTCTATATATGAATTTATGTATTAAGGGGATTGTTTCCCTCAAAAATAAGAAATTCAGCTTTTCTGTATTCTAGGCTTGTAGCACAAGACAATTTCAAAAATACAAAAAGGAACATTTTTTAACAATATGTACCAAGATTTGTTTGAATTAAATCTGTACATATAGATCATTACTGTCATTAATTGCCAAGTGTTTGCACTCGTTTGAAAGCTACATACGAGACGCATTCAACAAAGCTACTACCATAAATGTACATACAATACTTTTTTGTGTAATGCAGTCTTGAACTTTTATAAAATGATCATTTTATATCATTATTAACAAATAAATGGTATTTATGTCATTATTTAGGTTAATTGCAAAGGGTTTGCACTCGTTTGAAAGCTACAAACAAGACGCGTTCAAATAAGCAAATATCATGGTTGTACATGCAATAATTTTTGCGTAATGCAGTTTTGAACTTATATAGAATGAATATATATATATATGATACTACAGTAAAATAAAATTTTACTGTAGTATCATATATATATATATATAATATATATACGTCTGCATCTATAGCCCTTTTTTGTTAAAATTCTCTTCAAAGAGTAGAAACTTGACAGACTTTAGTTTGGTGCCGTCAGATTAGGAAACAAAAACCTTTTCTCAACACCCATGTCATAAGAGCAGCCTCTTTGGGTTGCATGAAACCCTCTCGCACCGTATGTCACTCTCTGTACCGATGTGGTACATAATTCAGGTTGCCTAAAACTGGCCAAATCCGAGAACAAAAAAGGCCAAAAAGGCCGATAACTCAAAATATACTAGTTTATTTGTAGGTTCCGCTATAAAAAATCCATTCATTTTCTTTTTGCAGTATTTAAAATTAAATTAGGAACCCCCATCATAAATTTTTGCCGGCCAATTCCTATCAACACAATTGAGAAAAACTAATTCACGGAATTTGTCCGGAAAAAATGACCATCTGGCAACCCTGCGCTAAAAAGACCAAATCAAGTTCAAATTAAAGAATTCCTGTTCTATTTGGAATATTGGGCTGATTGTTTCAAAATTGGTGGGCAAAAATATGTAGGGTAAATACATCATATTCAGACACCTTAAGGACATAGCACAAAATAAATGGCTATAAATAGATCACGGTATGCGCAACTCAAGTTCTGATTGGTTGATGTCACTGAAAACACCACACTATGTGCCAGCAATGATGAAACATCACAAACTGTTGCCATATTTATTTAAAAGCCTTTAGAATTCAAATCTACAAAATCACTGAATTCCAACAC